ACTTGGGTCTGTGGCTACTCTTAAAACCTAAGTGGAGCTGTCCAAATTAAGTTGCATGGAGCATGCATCAATGCTATGCATGTCCCATGCAACTTACTCTCTACAACCAGTTGGGGATTGGTGAATGATACTGAGCCAAAGTGACCCAAAACTGAGGTGCTTGAAGCTATATATAGCAACATGGATGAGAAACAAAGAAATGAGAATTTTTGGGGAACCTCAGTTCCAAAGGAATTTCATACGCTCTTGAGATGATTCCAAGTCAGTAGAAATTGAATAAAAGAAAAGATATCAATAGAGTTAAATAAATTTTTAAATCAAATGAAATTTAAGAGACACGAGATATCAATAAAATAATATCATTATATAAGGTGAGAGAAATATTGTATATTGAAGAATATAGGATATTGATATTGTAACAATTCAGATATTATAGGTAGATGTTATAAAGATGATGTTTGTTGTAAATTGTTTTACTTGCATTTATAAATGTATTATGTAGTTTCTTAAATTAATAAAAAATTAAAAAAAAAAGACCAATAAAAGGCAGGTAACATCCTGATACCATTCTTGAGAAAAAAAAAAAAAGAATTGGAAGATAGCAACTCATCGGTCTTCTTTACTTGTGCCTATAGTTCTGGGGCTTAGTCAACCAGCATCCTTTTTGCGATTCCCAAAAATGGATGTGGTGAAGTATTTTATGCCATTTTTTTAAGTTTTGGAGAATAAGGAGCAGAGGTTTAATGAAAGTTTAATGAATCAGTTCTGCCTCTTGAAACACAATACGAGCCCTAGAATGTGTCCCATCATTACTAGCTTACTAGCTTTTGGAGTAAGGCTTCAATAAGATGAACAAAATTTCATAAAGCCCTTAAGTCAGTGGAAATTCAGTTGCACACTCCTGCCATAGCAACTAAAGAACTCCAACTCTGGAACTGCATAACAGCAAAAGAAACAACTCTGTAAGGAAGTCCGTTGAACTGGAGTAGGATTCATGCCTCCAGGAAGAGAGAAGTTGGAACCCATACACGTGATCCAGATTGGAGATTTATTTATTCAATTTATATGCCGCCCCTCTCCGAAGACCCAGGGCGGCTGTTCCAATTTCTTCTTGTCGTATTCAGAGCCTGTCAATTCTGATAGCCACAACCCTTTGTCGGTGCATTTCTTTTGGCACAGAATATGGTGGAACTAATCAATAGCATGCTTTGAGACTGAGAATGTCAATGACTGTTTAAGCATCCTGACTAGTCAATTTTTCAGTATCTGCAATTGCCCGAGACACAGCAATGAAGATTTGACAAATAAACGGGGATGCCTTAAAAGTGGGTGTGGAGCCAGCAACCTTCAGTGGTTGATCATAAAGGTTGGTCTGTAGCAAGAGAAGGGTTCAGTCCATTTCATGAAAGCCTGACATGTTTACGGGACTCACAGATGCAGATTGTGCCCATCTGAAGGAGAAAGCTCCTGCAGCTCTGCTATTTACAAAAGAGGGCCTTCAGAGCCATATCAACCCAAGCCAGCTTCTAATCCACTGGTATTTCTACTGCAATATTGACAATTTAACAAAAGTATGAGCATGAGAAATGCAAATAGAAATGAAAGCCAAACAAAAGAAGGAAGTATCTCAAGAAAATCAGATGTTCTAGAGCAGGGTCGTTCAAACTATGATTCTCAGAACTGTCAAGTTCCATAAAAATTTGATGGGATTCTGTAAGACAGGGTTCTCCAACCCTTGGGCTATAGCCCACTAGTGGATCGCAGCTTGTTCAGAACCAGTCCATATGAGCGGTGGGTAAGCGTGTGCATGTGCACCTCCACTTGCAAGAGCAAGAGGCACTTGCGTGCATCTACCACTCACACAGAACCATCCCCTCTCCCCTCCCGCAATCCAGAAAAGTGCTTGCTGCTAAGAAATCAAGGAAACAATTCATTTGAACAGAGCCATTTTTTTGATTAGAGGTTCCAGGATTTTTTTTAGCTGACAGATTCTGAAAAAAAATCAAAACCCTGACTCAGTCAACTAATATTACTCTGTGACAGTGAAGAAAAGATTAGCAGATCCCATGTCTCAAGAGAATGTATACAATAAAGGGGCAGAATTGCCACCAAAATCTGTAAGGTTTGGAAAGTTTTGAAGGTAATTCGCTCAGGGCAGCCTATTTCTGCAAATCAGACTGATTTGTGAGATGGAAGCTCCTTTCATACTCTATATGCAAATAAATACAGGCACAAATGCAAGAGATTTAGCTGTAGGACTTTAAAATCTAAGAAATCAGCACCGACAGGGAACTAGCGCAACCTGATTCTTGCATACTCCTACGCACTCAACTGAAGCAAACCCTCAGGTGCCACTGAAAAGTAACGAACTCTCACATCTAAGATTATGCCCAATTCTGTAGTGAAAGTCACATATTCCTAGCTCATTTGTATTCTGCAATGAAAGATGTTCTAAAATGTGTGTTTGTGTGTGTGTGTATGTGTACGTATATATGGTTTCAATCAATGGTCACTGAATAACATTGTCATTCCAATGTTGAACTTCAGGTCTGCATAGATCTGTATTTTTTCCTTTATAATGCCAGTCAGGAACAGAACTGTTATTTTTCCTTACCATCCTCTCCTTCCTGACCGGATGTCAGAGGCTGGCTTTGCCAAGAACGTGCATAAACCATTTGAGAAATATGATAACGTAACAACCTAAAAACTGCAGTGCTGGATCAGGCCAATATTCATGGCTTAATCGACAGTGACCCATCAGATGCAATTGGGAAGTTCAATAAAAAAAAATGAGTTGGAAGTTTTCATCTAAGTTATCTATATGAAAAGGGTTATCAATTAACTTTGGAAGAATTCTTATAGACAAGTTTAATTTGCATAGTTTATTCTTGATGGAATGCAACCAACAGCGCAGAATATAAAGACCTATCAGTACCTCACTTGTTAGTTTGAGGTCACTGCTACTGTTAAAGCAAACAATTCAGGCTAGAGCAGAAGTGGATAACCGGTACCTATCCACATTTTGCTAAACTATTTTAAAAAGCTAAATAAATTTCACCTGATTAGGAAGGGAGTCTTGAAGTCCAGGCTGTAGCTGGATAGTTACCAGAATTTGAGTTTGATTTAAGGAAGTCTTCACATCTACTCATTGTGCAAGTGGCTTGGAACTCTTGAATAATTCACCACCACCTAAAATGCTAATTCCGTATTCTTTGGAGCTACAGAAAATGACTTCTCAGGAAAGAACAACATGCAAGATGCCAGCTCTTCAGCTCTCTCTTGTGGAATAAAAATAACTCGGTAGTATAAATTTAGATAGGAAAGCAAAACTCCACAACTGGGTAATTTTTCAAGGATATATACCTAAGTTGCTCTGAAGCTTTGCTAAATTAGATTCAGGGCATTTTTTTAGTATGGAGTTGCCCATTGCAAATTTTAAATAAGTTCACAGAGTATTCCAGGCTTCCAAAGCAGTAAATTTAGCTCAGAGGATATGATTCTTTATAATTATATAATTTATAATTCTTTGTGAGTCACATATACAGATAGTCCTCGACTTACAACAGTTCATTTAGTGACAGTTCAAAGTTACAACGGCACTGAAAAAGGTGACTTTCACACTTACAACCACTGCAATATTCCCATGTTCATGGAATCAAAATCCAGACACTTGGCAACTGATTCATATTTATGACCATTGCTGTTTTCCAGGGTCATGTGATCTCCTTTTGCGAACTTCTGGCAAGCAAAGTCAATGTGGAAGCCAGATTCATTTAACAACCGTATTACTAGCTTAATAACTGCAGTGATTCAAGAAAAGATTGCAAAATGAGGCAAAACTCACTTAACTGTCTTGTGTAGCAACATAAATTTTGGGCTCAATTTGTGGTGGTTAAGTCAAGGATAACCTGTACCAAAGTATATCCAAGCTCTCTTTCCTATCACCAATTAAAGCTTCCAGCAAGTCATAAAATAATTCTAACACTGTTTTTAACGTTGGTAAAAATTATGTCTTCTTTTTCCCTTGGCTACACCTTTTGGTATAACCAACAGAACTTAACACCTAAGACTTACTGCAACCCACAGTTCACAAAAAGGATGCATGCCATGGTAGAGGTGCATGTGCCAAGCCTGTGATGTCTCCTGTCTCCATATCCAAGATGATTTATAAATTAACTGTAAATGGCCAAGGAATATTAAAATGGTAGCTTTTCACAGCTGGTTTCTGCCTTGCCAATTATTATCTGTTTTGGTCTTAAATCCAAAACGAAAGGGAGATAAGAGAGAAAATAAATTTTGGGGATGTCTTGATTTTGAGAGAAGTATGTAAGTGATATAAAACTTTACAAAAGCCGAATGAACCCAAGTCCAAAACTTTGGACTTGGGTCTTTGACCATAAACTTGTTAAATGAACAAAATCTGTTTTGCTTGTTAACCTTTCCTTCCTAAATCTGAGGAAATATTGATCTGCTTTTATAGCTTAAACATAATGTTCAGGGAACACCTTGGACACTTCAGAAAGCCTTTTTAAAACCCAAAGCTATGAATGTCACGTATATTAATTTCAAGTTAAAGGGAACCAGCATACCTATATTGGTACTGCCCACACATCAGTATCAATCCACTTAGACTCCCTTCTGCAAAAAATCCATAGGCAGGAGGGAAAAGACAGTGGGGGTGGGGCAGAGATCAAGAAGTCTGCCTAAGGTTTGTTACCTTTGCAGAATTTGCAGAAGGTTTCAAGGAGAAGATCCTGGTCATATCTGTGTACAATCTCGCAACAGGCAGCTGGCGATCATGGGCAAACTATTGTTCAAGCAAAAGCTTATCCACTTCTCCGAGAAATCCTAATGTAATTTAAAAAGACTCTTAATTTAGAGATTCCCCTTTGTGGATCTGCGGAGGAATCCTGCTCGTTCACGTATCTGAGAGCAGCCTTCTCTGAACTACTGTGATAGAAGCAGCATCTTCTCAAAAGGACCTTTTTAGCTCTGAAGTCTTATTTTAAAGATTAGTTTTATTTGGAGAAAAACAAAACAAAAAACCAAGAAGGGGTGGGGAGGGGAATTTTACATAATAAAAGACATCTCCCAGGAAGTCCATGCAGATTACAAATCATTTTCATAGAAGATATTTTGTACAAATTTTACATGTTTTTCAGAATGTGTAAAACGCACCTCAATCCACTCATGAACCTGTCCTGATAGTAGAGAGACAGAATATTCAAGATTGCTGGAAGAAAGAGAATGCTTCTGGGATTTGCAAATTAGCAGTTTCTCTCTAATACAACTCCTCACTGTTAAAAGATTCAAAGCAATCATGCATTTCAAGCCCATCTACTGCCTTCACCAGGTCTCATCCCACTTTCCATCTCCCATTGTTGAGAAATGACAATACTCTTTCCATTTCGAAAAGCTGACTTAACGGTAGCTTAAAAGTTATGAAAATAAGACCTCAACTGTACCAATTTTACAATAGCCTGGATCCTCAATTTAATATAACTTGAGATTGTTTCAAGAGTAAAAATCAATGTTCTTCTCCCCCAAATTATGTAAAATAGCCCCCGCTAAATGCATGCGCATCTCATAAAATCCAGCCAAGTCCTAGGCAAATACTTCCTTCCTATGTGTCTATGCATTTGTAAACTGGCTATAAACCATTGTGCTGCTTCAGTTCCCTGTGCTGCAATTCGTTCTGCCCCTATGCATTTGCTCGGAAAAATAAAAGAATGCTAAAACAAGTGGCAGAAATTCCTATTCCCAAGTTTAACTTCTGATAGCCTATTATTTTTTGAAGAAAATTAAAAGGAAAGTCAAAACTTGGCTATCCAAGTTGCCGAACCACACCTAAGCTAGAGGAGGGAAATGAACCGTCACATGATGCAATGAAGATGCTCCACCGCTTTTGACGACCTCCGCTCTCTTTAAAGAGTGCTCCAAATTTGAAAAGGTGCTATTACTTTGTGACAGTATAGTGATTGCCCTTCAATGATTAAAAGCGGACAGAAGGACAGAAAACACTTCAAGGAAAGTTTATAATCCCCTAAAATTAAATTGCTCCCTAGCATTCCTCATATAGCACAGTACCTTTAGGAAGGTTACTGGAAATTTAGAACGATGGAGCTTCAAACATATAAAGTTATCTTCTGCATGGTCTATCCGTATACTCTCTGTGCCAACACTGCACAGTGACTACTGACATGGAGGCTGATATCATAGGAGCTGAATGAAAAGTGGCTTTCTGTACTGAAGCAATTTTTCAGTAGTGCCAATTTCTGGAGTGGGTGGGATACAGCCCTGAAAACTTCCAGGAAGAGGATCCTGGGAGCAAAGGCCTTGTGTTCAGCCTCAGTAACACTTTCTAAAGGCAGATGATTTGGGGGGAAAGGGGGGTGGGGAGCCAGCCATCATACCAAAAGGGCAAGGCATGCACCTAAACTCTGGAGATACCTGTTGGGCGGAGATCTTCTAACTTGAAAGCTAACTTGTCCCTTCTTTCAACTAATTAAGGTAATACTGCTTTCCCTCCCCAGTGCATTAACTGCTTTGAGATTATATTATAGAAGCCACTCAAGCTACCAAAAGAGGGAAAGAGACAGGGTTTAGCTGTCCATGTTCCCGATGCACTCACACACTAGCCTACTAAAGCACTAACCTTAGCTCTTAATGGAAAGGACCTGAGGCTCTGAATGTGATTAGAAGCAGCGTGAAGTAACATTCAAACACACATTGGGCCTATTTCTTTCTTTCCTTTTTAAAAAGATACCTGCCATTTTTTCCCTCTTGCTATACTTTTTTTTGCAGGGATTTCTCCAGTTAAGTTCAATACTTTAAAGGCTGCAGCAGCATGCAAGAGAAATTCTATATCATTTTTTCTTATTTTTTTAAAGAAAGGTTTAAGAAAGGTCTCTCCCAGGAGATGTTGACTTGTAGGCTTTTATTTTTCTGTCTTGTCTGAATAAAGGTTTGGTTTTGCTCTCCAAAAGTTCCTGGATGGCAACCGGTTAGGAGACAACATGGAGGGGGATGGAGAATTTAGTCAGCATACTCTTCTCCTTCAGCTTCGTCATCACCATCCACTGACAAAGCAGCATACTTGCTAGCACAGCTAAATTTCTGCAAGAAAAGGGAGGAGGATTAGCAGATTATCACAACACCGATGACTGTCAGTATTAAGTTTTTGTTGATTTTTACATTGTATTTCAGACCTTCTATAAAGAATACAATGGTATAAATGGTATTCTGTATTCTAGGCAGATAAAATGCTACATGTAACAAGCAAAATGGGGATCATGCTAGGCTATTCAGAATCCTTTAAACTGGAGACATTAAGAAATGAATCAAGGGCTTTCTGTCTCCCAGGCAAATTTTGCACCCCAGAAAGTTAATTCATTCTTTGTTTTTCATTTTAAGTCAGCTTCCATAGCATTAAGAAAACTGATACTTGGCTCCCCAAAGACAGTGGGATAACAATCAGTTATACTATATACTATACATACATACATATAATACACACACACACATGACAGCTTTTAAAAGGGATCTATCTATCTATCTATCTATCTATCTATCTATCTATCTATCTATCTATCTATCTATCTATCTATCTATCTATGTATCTATCCCTTTTAAAAGCTGTTTTTAATTTTTTTTTATCCTCTATTGTATCTATCAGTTTATTGTATCAAACTAATTTCTTCTATCATCTTAGGAAGCTTGCCTTCTACTTCAAAGGATTTGTGCTAAAAAGGCAGCTATTCTCAACTTTATTAAGACACAAATGTCTCCGTGGAAGATAGGACAACCCTAGCAGTGAAACCACAATGCACACAGTACAACTTCTCATTAATGGCATTTCTATTTAGATACTGTTAACTGCTGAAAGACAAGTGAATCCCAGTATGTACCAACCCATTTAGTCAGTAAAATTGCCTAATCCTTTGTATTTAACAGTAATTCCTTAAAAAAAAAAAGTAGGTTCAGTATTTACGGGGACAGGGTTCTCTTCAAATTTCTTTGGCTCAGATGCAGATCTCGAGTCATGTTCCTCGTTGCTTTCTTTCCTAAAAACGAACAATGCTACCATGTTAATTTAGCAAGCAAATTCAGAGAAAAATGTTATCCTTTGATCATTAACTCTATCTCCAAGCCCCAATGCCGGAGAATATAAAGGGTAAAATAGAGCATTGTATAATTCACAAACAAAACAAAATTCCCAGTGTGGTAGTGGTACAAATTAGATAGGCAGAATTTGGGCTGTTCAGTAATAATTGCCCTGCTAATGGTTCTCCAGCAGGTCCATTTTCCATGTATAAAACAACTGAGTGTATTCATAAATGTGTGCAAGATAAATAGCGCTGTTTGTTATTATTACTGCCTCTCTTCCGTAAGAAATATGAATGGTGTATTCCAGTTTCTCAACCATGGCAGCTTGAAGATGTGTGGACTTCAACTCCCAGAATTCCCCAGCCAGTAAGGTTAGCTGAGGAATTCTGGGAGTTGAAGTCCACACATCTTCAAGCTTTCAAGATTGAGAAACACTGGTGTATTCCATTCAGTTAAACAGTGGCGCATGACCAAAAAAAAAATATTACCGTTCCAGGTCTTGCCAATGGTCTCTGCTGCCTCCATCTCCAGGACCACGGCCAGAGCTCCCTCTTCGGCCCTTTGGAACACTCTCCTTTCCCCCATCAGGTCTGTTTTCATCTCCTGAAACAAAGCAGGAAAAGCTTCCTTCATCCTATTCCAGATATGTCAAATTGCAAGACTTGTTTAGCTTCCCATTGGTTTCTAAGGAAACATTATGGGGGGATAGGACTTTTGCTCAATACTTCATCTCCCTGCAGGCCTTCCATGAAGTTGCGCACATTTCAGCCTTACCTTTTCGTGGGGCACTTTTGGAGGACACTCCATCTTCAGATGGCACAGCTTGACTGCCACTGCAACACAGAGGTTAATACTTGAACTAATTTGTGCACACATATGGTATATATGAGGTCAGTTTTCAGTACAATTAATATAATCTTTTCAACTTACATCTAGAAGCAAACGACTGAAAATTGTCTGACTAAATAATGAAAACTTAAGACAAGAAATTTGGACTCTCAGGTGAAAATAGATACCAGTATCTGGAAATGCTTCCTCCAAATAATGGAACATTATATTTCACGCATGCCTTACATACTGCTGCAAAATAAAACAGATCTTGTACTTGTTACATAGTAACTTGGCCTTGTAAAATATTTTTAATTAACATAAAGGTATGTTATCCCAATTTTTAACCAGAAAGGCAACTACAGGTAGTCTCTGACTTACAACCAGTTGCTTAACAAACATTCAAAATTACGATGGACTCAAAAAAAGTTACTTCTGACCCATCCTTGAAGTTATGATTGTTTTGCCATCCAGAGTTATACGATTGCATATGAGGCTTAACAATCAGCTTATATTTACAGCTATTGCCAGCATCCTGTGGTCACATGATATCTTGCAATTTCTGCCATCTTCCCTAAAAAAACACCAAAAACCCCACAGGATAAAAAGTATTACATTTTAATGATCGAATTGAATCATTTAATAATCACCATGAAAACGGTCATAAAATCAAATCTGGTCATGCGGTGGCCAGACTTACAACCACAGCAACTTATAACCAAAATTCCAACCCCAACTGTGGTTTAAGTTGAGGACTACTTGTAGAGTGTCTTCAAATATTTTTGAAAGATGGTTTAAATTAGAAGCAACTCGGCAGATGGTTTCAGTCTATGTGAATGTATATATCTATCCCAGACTCAATGAGAAGTGGTAGATATTTTCACTTGGAAGCACTGAGGATCTGAATGGTGAGCATCGGACAGTTTCAAATCAGTCGTGCGTGCCTATTGTGTTAGAAACCAACTAATTCTAAGACAAAACTAATCTCAGATACTGATGGGCTTATTCTCTGCCAGGAAGAACTGCTAGTTAAGCTATTGCTGGAGCAGCTGGTGAAAGCTGTGCCAAGGGATGTCTTTGCCCATTTGTGCCTGATACACTAATTGTGGCCATTTCTGGCAACGGTCACTCATTCTCTCATCACTTCATGACTACTGTAATATGACCTATATAGATTGTCAGCGAAGACCACCCAGAAACTGCAACTTGTACAAAATGCAGCAGTTTCCATATTAATTGTGAAGGATACTTCCATATAAACTAGTCCAGCAGGAATTACATTAGTGCCAGTTTGTTTTCAGGTACCAGTTAAGCTGGTGGTGATCACCTGGTCTCCAGGTTCTGGCTAGATAGGATGCAATCAATACTTGGTTCAGTTCAGCAGACAGAAGCAACTCAATATGATTTCTAATAGTCCAAGTACAGAACGTTCCTCCCAAGTTTCTTCCTATTCCTCATGACTAACACAAGGCAGGTATGTAAATTAAGTCAAGAGCTTACAGACAGACTAAACGAATTACAGGAAATGAGGAGAGTTTTATCAAAACAAACTGAAGAATTGATGACAGCTTAATTTTCAAAGCAAGTGAGCATTTGGCAGGGGAACGGGGAACATCTTAAATCAGATAAAATACTTATGGTAATGAAACTCCTGTCAGAACGGAGACTAGAATAACAAATAAAATCTAGGGAATTTTGATACAGTTAACATTTAAATTCTTCAAGTATTATCAGCTGAATTTCTTGCAGTAGCATGTGCATTTACTTCTACGAACATATTCATTGAAAGTTGAAAGAAAAGCATTTTTCATAGATGGGGAAGTTTTTGTTTCTTTGAAAATTCACCAACACTATTATGCAGAAAATGTATGTCGAAAAGGCTTTTTACTTTGATAAGGACTTGCATAAAAGTTTGTATTTTTTTTTTTAAAGTCCAAGTATAAGTAAACTTCTGGTTGCCTTTGCTCAGAATTTTTTACACTTTCTTGTTTTTTTAAGCTGTAGTTCTCATTTATTAAAAACCAGCACTAGTGATTATCATACACCATCTTACAGAGATCTATCATTTCAGTCACTAAGCAGTTATTTTCTAATACAGATTAATTCATCCACCCACCCACCCACTCACTGTTTTGCTGGCTTTATATCTAATATTTTATTCAGCTCAAGCAATGTATTTATAATTATATTGAGCCACAATTCTAAAACATTATTACGTTCTCCTCCCCTTCTTTTCCCAAGCAACACCCCCTCCTTTTGAGATAGTTGGGCAGAGAGTGAGTGACTGATGACTGGCCAATCACCCTGTGAGCTTTTATGGCTATGAGTTTTCTTGCTTCAATATATCAACCATCCCACCACAGCAGTCCCCAAATATTTAACACTTCTTCAACTTAATGATGTTTTTCCTATTTGTGAGACGGTAACAAGCACAGCTGATTAATTAAAACTGTTTAAACTGGCAAAATGTTGCTTTCATACATTGTACTCATTCATCACGCTAGTAGCTCTTTTTGTCTTTTAAGTTACAGAAGGTCAGGAGCTTCTGCTCAAGAGGACAGGCAGGCAACCTGTCTAAATTTGAGAACTATCTCCTGAATGATGAACATTAAGGCATCAAATCCAGTTTCATTTATTCACAAAGAACATGAGTGTACCTGCTTCACAGCAGGGAATGGAAACCATACCATTTCTGTCCATTAGACATGCTGGCTGGATCTGATAAGGACTGGGAGTCCAACAAACTGGAACCCAGCCCCACCTGCTCTGCCATTTTTCCCCCTTTTGAAATTGTGCTAGAAATTTATATTTCAGAAGAGTCTCGATGAAGCCACAACATTGGCGAATCACACAGCCTTTTGCCACATTTTCAAATCCATGTTGCAGCAACGTCAGCTCTTGCTTTAAAAGAGGAAAAGGAAAAAAAAAAAAAAAAACTCAGCAACATAGCATATTCCATTCTCTAAACCAGGGGTCTCCAACCGTGGCACCTTTAAGACTTGTGGACTTCAACTCCCAAAGCTGGCTGAGAAATTCTGGGTGTTAAAGACCACAAGTCTTAAAGTTGCCAAGGTTGGAGACCCCTACTCTAAACTCACCTTGTTGGGGAATGCTGATCGGAGTCAGAGCTCTGCGAGCGTGCTGGGTGCGAGTTGCTTCGTTTCACCCAGGCATTTTCTTTTGGAGGAGGAGCTGGCATTACTTTCAAAGGAAGCTTCTCTTCTCTAGGAGTCTTGGAGGTTGGAGAAAGACTTTCATCCTCTTTGCCGATGTTTTCATTTTCCAATGACTTCTCGCTCTCCCTCCTTCGTGAAGCTACAACGGTAGAATAGGAGGCAGAAACTGAGTTTCCTTCCACAGCAACATATTCTTGGTTTGTTGAATGTTTCAGGATTAGTCAGCATGTCTCACCAAAAGGTACCATCAACTTGCCAAAAACGTTTGCGGGTGCAGTGCATAATTGTAGAAAAAAGTTCCATTTGGATTTTATAGTCAATCCACAAGGTGTAATAATGGATTGCTGTAACACCTTGGGGAACAATGGCATGTGGCATTATGGCTTATGTCAAATTTTCAAGATAAACATAGAAATACTTGACATCTGTCATAGGGGTGAAATGCTCCTGGTCCAGACCAGATCGCCCGATCTGGTAGCGATGGCGGCGGGTGGTTTGGAGAACCGGTAGCAAAAATCCCTGCCCCCCCCCATGCCCAGCTGAGCCGCACGATCATCAGAGGCTTTTTTAAAAAGTATTTTTTCTACAACTTCTTCGGCAGAAAAAATGCTTTTAAAAGTAAAAAAAAAAAGCCTCTGAAGATCGCGCAGCTCAGCTGGGATCGTCAGAGGCTTTTAAAAGATTTTTTCTACAACCTCTTCGGCCAAAGAGGTTGTAGAAAAAATGCTTTTAAGTAAAAAAAAAAAAAAGTTGGCCATGCTCACCCAGTCACATTACCACCACCCCAAGCCACGCCCACAGAACTGGTAGTAACAAATTTTATATTTCATCACTGATCTGTCAGTCACAGTGTGCTGTGAAGAAAAAAATACTGGAATATTAACGGCACTGTGAATCGAGAAGGTTTAGGAACTGGACTGTAAGTTCCTGAACATATTCAATGGTTTTTTTTAAAAAAAATCTTCCAAGGTCTAGTGTGGTGATGGCGAACCTATGCCACGCGTGCCACAGGTGGCACACAGCATCCTCTCTGTGGGCACGTGAGCCATTGCCCCAGTTCAGCTCCGCTGGGGCATGTGTGTGTGCCTCCCGCCAGCCAGCTGGTCGTTGGGTCTCTGCCGCTTATGCGCGGGTGTGCGTGCGGGGGAGCCCTGCTTGGGAGGGGGGGCATGTGCACATGCACAGGAGGCACGTGTGCATGCACAGGGGAGGGGCACATGCACAGGGGCTGCGCACGCATTGCATTTTGGGGGTTTGGGCGCACGCGCGTGCTTTGGGCACTCAGTCCGGAAAAGATTAGCCATCAACTGGTCTAGTGTGACTTACAACGGATCCTCATATTTATGACCATTGTAGCATCCTTGCAGTCATGTGCTCAAATTTCGGGTGCTTGGCAATTGGCATGTATTTAAAGACGGGTGTAGCATCCCAGGGTCATGTGATCTCTATCTGCAACCCTCCGTTGGCCAACAACAAGCCAAGTCAATGGGGGAAGCCAGATTCACTTAATGACCACATTATTCGCTTAACAACTGCCTTGCTTATCAATGGAAATTCCGGTCCCAATCATGGCTGTTAAGTGAAGAACTACCTGTATAGATACATGTATGAATGCAGTGCAAGACTTAATCTAGTTAAAAAAGTTCCACCAGGCCTTTCCCTCTGCAAAAAGCCAGCACTCAATTGGAAGCAGAAGCCCTACATGGCTCAGGACCAGGTTATTTGAGGGACCATCTCTCTCCTATTTGCTTCTGCCCATGCTGTAAGATGAGAATGAATCAACATGCTCTGAATTAAACAATTCCATTTGATGATGCATAGGAAGTATGACTTCTCTATTGCAGTGCCTGCCTTCTGCAACATCATCCCCCTCGAACGCGAACAGCTTTCACCCTGCTGAACTTTAAATAAGCCTCAAAGAACTGGAAAGAAAGGCTCTTTCCCCAAGCTGGAAGAGCATGAGTAATTCATACATCTGTTCCACTGGGATCAACATCTTTCTTTTCTGATGATTACTATTTCCTTAGTTTTCCATCTATATGCCACCCAGTCATCGAGAAATGGGGCAGCTTTATAAATGTGATTATAAAGAAACAAAACAGAAACTTTAAATCTAACAAAGCTGCATGTAAGAGTATCTGCCACAATCTAAATCGGGCACATCCAACCTGTAGCCCACAACCCACATGTGAACAGCAAGTAATGCGGCCCTCACAAGATTGTAATAAATATGTTAAAAAAGGAAGATTATTTTTTATATACGTTAACTATATTATGTATTTTATACGCAGTCCAAGACCATTCCTCTTGACTCAATGTGCCCCGGGCAAGCCAAAAGGTTGGACAGTCCTGGCATAAATAGAATATAGTAATCAGGTTAGGGAAGAATCACCTGCTGTTAATTACCCTTATCACATTAAAATAGTCTGATGTGATAACGATATCTAATGGTGAGAGGTGTCGTAACGAATCTCATTGTGAGTGGGGAAAAAGAATTCAATAAAAACATTATGAGAAAGGAGGAAATGTGCCTTGTTCTCTTCCCAGAAGTTCTGGCTTTCCAAATTTCTCAAACATTTTCAGGCTGCAGATATATCTGATCTATGAAGCTTTAAAAAATTGCCTTCATTTATTATTGTGATGGGCCTACTGATCTCTACCACAGTGTTCTTGTGCATTAAGATGCATTAAGGATATACACCCTTGGAAAATGATTTGGAAGAAATGTTTTGGACCCTGTTGAGTACAGCACCAACATCTCTCCACTCTACAGTGATGTACCAATACTTTTTTTTTAGATGTGCGCGGCAGCTCGAAAAAAGATGCACCAGCTTTCAGGAATCAGCTAATTAAAGTTAATGTAATGCCTACACATGTGTGGTGTCATATGTTTAGGAATATAAATCCAAATTGCTTTTTAAAATTTTGAGTATGTCTCGATCCAGCCTCCGCTCGCTAGATCAAAGCTGTTTCTCCATTGATTGAAATGATTGTGATCATGCTCAAATATCCTGATAACATTGTTTGGGACTCTTAATAAAGGGAATTGCGAATTAGGGAAGAAAAGACTGTAGGTCACACTGACTGTTCATTGCTCTTATTAGCTTCTGCTAAGGCTCATAGCTGTGTCTGACCTCAATTTCTTGTCCTGGCAACATGCTCTCTACCCACCCACTCCGCCCCCAAAGATATGCTTTTGGATGGAGTGTGTATGAGGTGGCTTTTTGGATTAAGAAATTCAGTTACCATGTAAAAGAAAGGAAGATGTCTGGATGAAGGGTTTTTCTTGATTATGTTGAGAATTTCCATTTAAAATCAGAGATGGATCACAAATGAATTAACTTATCTCAACCCCAGAAAGAATTTATAATTGCTGCAACTTTCTGGAAATAAAAGTGCTTTGCAGAAGATCTGAGTTCTAGGGCCTTATATCAAGGAATGATTTTTCTGTTTTATTGGATCCTGGAAACTGAGGACACCATGAATTTGCCTCTTGAACTTGAAAGTAATTCAATATGGTATTTCCTTAGTTTGCTGCCCTTTATGCCCATTGGTGTGGTGAAGGATTCTCAAATATTCTAGACTCGTGCAGACTTTCTCAACGAAGGAACAGAGTTGCTAAAATTGCTGATAATTGACTCTGAGGGTCTAGGTGAATTTTTACTTTAGGAAGAATTGAAAACTAAACTGTATCTAGTATACATTTCTTCAAAGTTTTGGGGATAAATATCTCAAAGGTGCTTTTTCAAGAGGCAACTGGACCTTCTGGTTTTTCTTTAAAGAGGTTTCATTTCTAATCCAAGAAGCTTCTTCAGCTCTGACTGGATGGTAGGGAATAGAAGGATTTATACTCCTTGCAGACAGCTGGACATTTGCATTTTTAGTGAGTCGTTAAAACAGAGCACAGGTCAAGATTTACATTTTGATTCCCACCACCCACTGGAGCACAAAATGTGAGCCATCAGAACTGTACACCACCGAGCTGAAGGCCTGCCTACCAGCAGAGATGGGAAAGAAAAAGAACTAAAACCCATCAAATAAAATCTCAGAACGTGTGGCTATCCCAAGTGGGCCTTCATCAAATCTCAAAAAAGACCCTATAGGAGCTCCTCCATAACAGATAACGAAGAGAACAATAATGAAGCAACGTTGTCAAGCCATACATTACAGGAATATTGGAAAAGCTCAGGAGGATCTTCAGCCAACACAACATAGGTGCACACTTCAAACCCAAGAATACACTAAGGCAGAAGTTTGTCCAGCCCAAGGATAAAACACCCAGACACAAATTGAGCAAAGTGGTATATGTAGAACAATGCATAAGCCATGTGCAGATCTGCACATTGGGGGCACAAAACATTCACTTTATAAACGCATGGCACAACATAGGAGAACAAACTCATCAGGACTAGATTCAGCAATCCATCTGCATTTAAAAAGACTTTTGAAGACAGCGAAGTATATATTTTGGACAGAGAGAAATGCACTGTCTGCCTTGAAAGAGGGGTCAAAGAGGCCATCTATGTCAAATTGAACAGCCCTCTCTTCAACAGGGGAGGAGAGATACAACATCATCTATCTCCAATCTACAACACAATCCTTTCAACAGTTCCAAGAAGGCTCCACATGCATTTGTACCACTCAGATGACCCTGATGACACAGATTGTGCTAAAGAGTCTCTAAAAGAATGCATGCAAATAACCAGCTGTCTTGCAAGGAGTATAAATCCTTCCATTCTCCACCATCAGTCAGAGCTGAAGAAGCTACTTGGATGAGAAGCGAAATGTCTTTGTTGTGACTCTGACCCCCAAGCCAGTCTTATCGGAGGGAGAAGACTCCGAAAGTGAAGGAGAGGAGTTGGCAAGGCCTCCCTCTCCAGGACCCTCCTCTCTGGCAATGCCTCAGGTATCTTCCGAAGGCTAAGAGATAGGCCAAGAGCCAGGCACTTCCGAGCAGCCGCAGTTAGACACCGACGGAGATAAGTCTTGGCTGGATCTCCGACAGCGTCGGAAAGACAAGCGCGCACAGCAGAGAAGGAGGCGTGCCAGTGATTAAGCTGAGTCACTGGACCACACCCCACAGGGGATAAAAGGGGGTGTGGTGGCCATTCAGGCTTTGTGACGGACAAAACTGAAAGCTAGCAAGTCATTCTGCATTTCTGGAACTTTGTTATATGCTCTGCTTGGATTGATTTTTGGACTGGACTTGACTATTCTTTGGCTTTTGTGGACTTACTTTGATGTTTCAGTCGGAGGAGATAAACTTCCCTTTGTAAGTAAAAACTTTTGGCAAGCAGCCACTGGGTTGCTGCCAATTCTGTTATCAAAGGAAAATTCTTGTCTGCTGGTTTATTTTAACTCTTGGTCGACTGCTGGTGTGCGTGTGTGAGACGGGGACAGAACAGTCTTCAAAGAAAAACAAGAAAGTCCAGTTGCCTCTTGAAAAAAGCACCTTTGAGACATTTATCCCCAGAACTTTAAAGAAATGTATAGTATGGTAGATATAGTTATAGTAGCATAGTTTCCAATTCTGAACTTTGGGAGAAGAGTGTAAGCAAAAACAAGAAGCTTACAAGTCCTTCAGGAGATACTTCTATGGCAGAAGCACCCGATACACACAGCGGTATCCTGAACAAAAAATAATAAGAGACCCAAGAGTAAAGATTTACATCACGCAAACCCTATCTTTCGATGGACTTACCCCATTCAAATAATCCATGAGTTTCCAAATCTGGATGCACATATTTATAATATCATTCAACTGAATCTCAACCTCAGATATACCCATGGCAGGACTGGCTAAAGTTTGAACAATTTAATAGGGTTTTCCAGCAAGAAAAAGGTTTACTTCAGGACCCGCTAATATCTTGATGACTTACTTCTCCCTGTTGGACCAGTCCCCACAGAAGGAGTTGTGCTGCCAGTCTGTGAAGATTCGCTTCCTGTCCTTGACCGCTCTTGATTTTCTTCACTACGCCAGCTGGGGTGCCTAAGAGTACATACAGAGAAATAAAATCACCAACTAAGTGTCTAGGGGGAAAAAACCCTCAGCACGCAAAAACAGTAACCAAGTTTCCTTATCCTGATATCGGTATTAAATGACCCCCTTAAAGTGTCATTTAATAAAGCTGACGCTCTGTGCTCCCCATCACCCTTTAAGCAGCATACAGCTCCATCACAGTGCAATCACTCAATCATCCAATTAACCCGTATCCTCCCTCCCCCTCCCCAATCCATGGCAAGCTCAGTTGTTCCAGGCTGCTCCGTCTTTCCTTAAAGTGATGGATGGTGCAAAACTGCTTCAGGGCATTACCCTGAAGTCATCTAGCATGCGGCCGGGAAGTTGAAGTGAGAGGCATGTCTCGGGGCTGACGACCCACCAGAGTAGGCACACAGGAAGGGTCGTCAGTGAAAGTGTGCAGCATTGGAACAGCGATTCCCACATGAATAGCAGCCCCAAGTACCATCGCAGGGCTGGGGCTGACACTAAGTGAGGGTACACTTTTAGAACACGGTTACAAAACTGGGGCCCCCTATGCGGCTAAGATAGAGATGCCTATCACGCAGCAAATAATTTTTCAAGGCAAGTTAAAGACATGGGGCTGCTCAGGATACAGATGTATTTGACCAAGTGCAGATGAATACAGGTAGTCCTTGACTTACAACAGTTTGTTTAGTGACCGTTTGAAGTTACGACATCATTGAAAAAAGTTACTTATGGTTTTCACATTTATGACCATTACAGAATGCCCATGGTCACATGATCAAAATTCAGACTCTTGGCAACGGGTTCATATTTATGACAGTTGCAGTGTCTGGAAGATCCCCTTTTGTGAACTTCTGACAAGCAAAGTCAATGGGGAAGCCAGATTCACTTAACAACTGTGTTATACCAACTTAACGACTGCAGTGACTTACTTAACGAACGTGGCAAGAAAGATCGTAAAATGGGGCAAAACTCATTTAACAATTGCCTCGCTTAGCAACAGACATTTTGGGCTCAGTTATGGTCATAAGTCAAGGACTACCTATATATGTAGTAGTATTTGCAAGATTGTCATCCTAAGTTTGGATTGCGGAGGCTTCCTTTCTGAAAACTACCATTTTCTCTGCAGAGAAGATAGCCTTCTGCTGCTCACCGTTCCCGGGGCCGCCTGTCTAGCCTGGGTTTATCGTCTTCCAGTTGGCGCTGCAACTTCTCTTGCTCCTTCTGGAGCCTTTCTTCTACTTCACGCTCTCTTGCAGCCGTGTCCACAGGTTTGGCTCCTCCAAAGATAGAAGCTGCACGGCTAGACTGACTTGCAGGGGCTACAGATGTATCTTCTTCCTTGGGAGCACTCCGGGGCTTCAAATTCAGTTTTGGCCTCTGAGTAGAACCTAAGAGGGGAGAAAAAGTAAAAGAAAGTTGGAGAAATTAATGGTACGCACACATGTGCATCACACACACACACACACACACACACACACACACACACACACACACACGACACAATAAATCCTGAACAGCTAGTTCAGGTTGAGGAAAATCCAACAGCACAAGACTTGTGAAACTTCATACGGCTTGCTGACCTAAACTATTAGTTGAAACTGAGATCTACCAAGAATCAAAAGACAATCTTTCTGCAAGGGAGTATTTTCCCCCACATAACAGCAATCTACTTGACATTTCTCCGACTAACTTTTGTATTTTGAGGCCAGCGTACTAGAACATGGGGGGATATGGGTAGGAGAGAAAAAAAGGACTGCTTGGGTGGACACTTAATTCCAGATACCCCAAAGGTGCTTTTTCAAGAGGCAACTGGACTTTCTGATTTTTCTTTAAAGACGTTTCGCTTCCCATCCAAGAAGCTTCTTCAGCTCTTGGATGAGAAGCAAAATGTCTTCAAAGAAAAACCAGAAAGTCCAGTTGCCTCTTGAAAAGGCCCCCTTGGGACAGCCATGACCTGGATGACTGAGAATCTCCATAGACATTAATTCCAGATGGGTTCCTCCATGGCTTAAGTGAGATCAAAGGTATGGGACAACAGAACCGATTACAGCAGGGCTGTCAAACTCGTGGCACACGGGCCAGATGTGTCACATGCTAGCCACGCCCACCCCTGGTTTAGCAAGGGGGGGGAAGTCGTGATACATTACGTGAGGACACCGTGACGACACGAGTTTGATATCCCTGGATTACAGCAACAACAAAGGCTCAGCTCTCCTTTCTTGATACTACGAAAAAGTGTCGGGCCTACCTCTGTCATCCCGCCGGCTGTCATCCCTGTAATAGTCATCCCGCGAGCTGCTGCTCCACCTATCCACTCGATCATCCCGCCTCTCGTAACGGTCCTCATAGCGGTCACCGCCACCCCTGAAATCATCGTCCCGGCGGTACCCACTGCCAAAGGCTCTTCTGCCACTGCCTGACCTCGAGTCGAAACCTGCACAGGAGCAAAGTTATCCCAGCAGTTCTTTCTTGCACAATACGTAATGTGTTATAGCGGACGACAAAAAGCTTAAGAAATAACATTCATTTAAAGTTTTTATGAGAGACTTCATAGAATTTGCTCCACCACTATTAGCATAGTGATTCCTTTGTAAAATGCCTTGGGGAAAAGCATAACATGGTCATCTCGGGAAACCTAGATCAAGAAAATGATTCCCATTAAAAGCACATTAAAATCCTGGTGAAGCTGCACATAGTCAGACCTGAATTGTAATGCTAGATTAAGGTTTGAAGAGGATTTTACACACAATTTGCAACACACTCAAAGATGCATCTCAGGAAAGCAATGCAAAGCTAAGAGAAAAACAATGGAAAAAGGCTAGATATTAGCTAACAACAGCTGGAGGGTTAGCTAGCTAGAACTTGCATTATCAGTTTTCCCACATTTACCAGATTCTTACAATCATGCTAAGCCATAATGGGGGTTATTTGATTTGATGTAAATCCAGTCAGCTGTGCTTCTTCGATCAACAATTAAACAGACCCATAGAGCTATATTTAACTCCAAATACTGAATCGCTCAACCATGAGACAAAACAACGGTCCTACCATCACCAGAAGCTAGGAAAGAATCAGGACCCAGAAATAATCATCTCTTATTTACTTTTAAATCTTATATATATCCCTATCCAACAGAACAACAAATGAGAGAGTGTGACAAGATGCTATTGTGCAGGAACGAGCAAGACTCATCATGTACAGTAGGTAGTATTTTCAAACTAGGTATGGCTCTTTTCAACTCCAGAGCAATGAATGATTGCTTCTGAGATCATATTTTCTCCTTAATACTTCTCTGCATCTCACATCCAAACTCCAATTATGCTCACTTTCAATGGAGAAATGCCTTTGAAGTCCCCTGTGATAAATTAGGATAAATATGAATCATTTTGTGCCAGAGTAATGAATACAGGATACAGGAGTGCAAAAGCAACACAGATACAGTTGTATGAAAATCAAGTTGCCTACATCTAAGTGCCAACCCCCAGAATGAAATCAGCCAGCTACATTACCTCCCCTGTCATACTCTCTACGGTCATCATAACGGTCTCGGCCTCCATAGCGATCCGTATCTCTTCGGGGACCATCACGGTACCGGTCTGAATCATAGCGATCACGGTCCCGAAATCCTAAGACAGAAAAGAAAACATATTTAATTTTACACAAAATAAATGCTGAGCAATTACTTTCACAAAAGCATCCAACATAATGAGCGGTAAGGTGGCAGGTTTCAGGATCCATCAAGGACTGCTTCTTTATGCATTAAATTTTATATCCCAGCTTTGTGTTTATACAATACACGCAAGGCAACTTGTAACAATTAAAATAAAACTCCCTTTTTACGACCCTGTATTCCCTTAATTTGGGGTAAACTTCAGGTGACTGGATGGAGCTGAGCAAAATATAAAATATAGAGCATAATAAAAGTACAATTAAAATGCCTAATTAAAATCGGCATGATTAAAATTAATGCAAAAAAAGGGGGATTTTGCCATTTTCATAAACTTTTGGAGTTTGGAAGCTCAACAGCTGATTTTTATAATCTGAGTGTACAGCACTTTCATGAGAAACAATACTGTTTTCATTTTGTCCAGTGAGAAAAGCAGTTGCATTTGAAAGCATTGCATATACCAAAGGTATATGGTGAAAACAGGATTTGGATTGTTTCCATAAATTGGTTAAATTTTATTATATACCCTAGAAAATAAGAATTCAAATTAGGGGTAGTCTCACCATGCTTTTAATTGCTGTATATAGTATACAAAGCAGTTTTGATCAGGCCCATTAAATTGTGTTATTTAGCTTTTCTACATTGCTTTCACATGGGTATTTATTTTATCCGCATGTATTATTTTTGCAAATAACACAAGATGGTGAACATATTCAACAAACTTTCCTCCTCCTATTTTCCCACAACAACCCTATGAGGTGGGTTAGGCTGACTGGCTTTCATGGCTAAGATAGGACTTGAACTCACAGTCTCCAATTTTCTAACCTGGTGCCTTAACCACTAGACTAAACTAGACTGATCAAAATCCAGACACTTGGCAGTCTCCCTGCATTTACAACTGCAGGAGTGCTTCAATTCCCTCCCCCCACAATATCTGATTTTTTTGGCCTCCTGAATTCAGCAGCCCCTTGTCCTGCTGCCCCCCCGCCTCCGCCCCCCGCTGACTTTCCCCATCTTCCTGCTGGGCATCTTCTGATCAAGCATGCCCAGCCTAGCCGTACAGGAGACAGCTGCTGGTTGCACGAGGTCTCCCTCCTGAGATCGCATGCAGTGGTCCCCTCAAGAGACCTTGGGAAGAAAGCATCACGTGGCCAGCAGCTGCCTTGCTAAACTGCTAGGCTGGGGTGGCTGCAGCTTTGCACTGAACTGCTGGGCTGGGGCAGCTAGGTCTTCCTGGGATGGCTGTGGCTTTTTGCACTGCTGGGCTGGGCAGCTATTGGTTTGCATTACTACTGGCAACACTAGTATGTGCAGGGACCAGTTGTAAAGTTGCTTTTCAGTGCTGTTGGTAACTTCAAATGGTGCTAAACAGGGCTGTTGTTAAATAAGAACTACCTATAGCCTCCCTGGATACTTCCTATCACATTACTTGCTTCTTAGGGGAGGAAACTGGCAAACTTTGTTACCTTACAAACACCTAGTATTTGGATTTTCTAAAGTACTCATGCAGGGTCTTGTGACATTTGCAATCTGAGCCATTTATGGCTGTAGGGGACGAATGTAGCATCTTACCCTATGTCTAGAGCACAAATTATTGTTTTCTAAATAGAGGACATTGCTTAAAGAAAAACAATGGGGAAAATATGAATCTGCAGTTCAGACAAAAAGAAGAAACTTAGTGGAGCTCGAGCATTACCAAAAATAATAATCTGTTCCTCTTAAGCAAGACAGATGCTGCATAGCTTCATTATGCTGCCTTATCTGGGTTAAACTAGTTATCTGGAAACACTGATGAGAAAAACACTACAGAATTTACAGCTGAGTTTGTACTACATTTTCAGAACCAGACCAATATAGCGAAAATCAAATTGCTCAAATAGAACCAAAACCTGTGCTCCTGTCACTAATAGAAGCATGATGACCAATAGATGGAAGCAGTTTGTGGTTATTATTCCAGCAATTGTTTATGTACTGTAGTTGAGAACAAACAAGCCTTCCAATACCAGGGATGTTCATTTTAAATTTGGATAGAGTTCCTCATGCAGGACTTGTTCATCATCTGGGGGTCATTTCCTCACAGTTCTGGCTTCAAGTATAAGTGGTTGACCTGCTATGACCAGGAGTGTCTCTGCAGTTACATCTGGCAAGCTAATTACAAGCTAATTTCCTAGATTGGGAGATCCTGCCTTTCAACTGGAATACGTTGTTTGAAGATTATCTGGAAGCTCCAGCTGGTTCAAAGTCAGCAGGTTGAGCCGTGTTAGAAGCTTCAAGGTTCTCCTATGTTATACACCTACACTGAGAGCTGCACTTGTTACTAGTTCTTTTCTAGGTATAACTTATGATGCTCACTATCACCTTAAAGGCCTTTATAGCTTAGAACCTGAATATCTGCAGAACTGCCTCCTCTTAATAGTTTCTGCCTATCCAATAAGATCTAACAGCTGAGTGTCAGTTTGGTCTACTGGCTAAAGCACCAGACCGGAAAGCAGGAGACCGTGAGTTCCAGTCCCACCTTATCCATGAAAGCCAGCTGCGTGACTTTGGGCCAGTCACTCTCTCTCAGCCAGTGGTGGGTTTCAATTTTTTTTACTACTGGTTCTGTGGGCGTGGCAGGGGAAGGATACTGTAAAATCTCCATTCCCACCCCACTCCAGGGGAAGGTTACTGCAAATCCCCATTTCCTCCCAATCAGCTGGGACTTTGGAGGCAGAGAATAAATGGGGGCGGGGCCAGTCAGAATTTTTACTACCGGTTCTCTGAACTACTCAAAATTTCTGCTACTGGTTCTCCAGAACTGGTCACAACCTGCTGAAACCCACCTCTGCTCTCAGCCCAACGTCATCTGTTGTAGGGAAAATAGTAGGAAGATGTGTTGGATAGGTTTGCTGCCTTGAGTTATTTGTAAAAATAATAAAGGCAAGATATGAATCAAACAAACGTGGTGTATACTCCAGGGCTCTTTCTCTTAAGGGTTGTCATCTTCAATAGCTTTGGAAATGAGTTTTCTTAGTAGTGCCCTCTTTGGAACAACATACCTCCTAAAATTAGACTGACCCATACCTGGGAACCTTTACAAAGACTATTAACACATGGCTTTTCCAGACAATCTTGAACAGGAAATTGTTATGAGTCCTGAGCCCTTGAGGCTGGTGTTATTGTAATCATAACTGTAATTAATTGGCCTTTTGGTATTGTTTTTAAGCTCCTTATTATAAAATGGCATGTTAGCCTCTCCAAGACAAACTGTTAATAGTGCTTCATTTCTGGGAAGTGAAGCAGGTGTAAGGTATGGAGATGCTGCCTCTCATGAGATGGCCCTCTGTCCTCTGGAATGGCGTCTCCTGGGAAGTGAGACTGCATCCAAATTAATAGCCTTCCAGAAGTTAGTTAAAACCAAGTTATTCTGCCTCTGAATTGTGACATTATAGCAATAGCACTTAGACTTATATACAGCCCTCTAAAAGTGGTTTAGTGTCAGCCTATTGCCCCCAACAATCTGGGTCCTCAGTTTACCCACCTCAGAAGGATGGAAGGCTGAGTCAACCTTGATCCTGGTGAGATTTGAACTGCCAAATTGCAGTCAGCCGACAGTCAGCTGACATAGCCTGCAGTACTGCACTCTAACTACTGCATCACCGTGGCTCATTTATCAGAGGTGTATGATGCAATTTTAATTTAACTCAATTTTAATTTTAATTTTTACCTTGAACCTTTTGCTGTATAATTGTAGTCAACTGTCAAAAGTTGCAGTAGGCGGTAGAATATGCACTAAATGCATATGCACCTACGATTTGGAACGAGCTCCCCCCGGAGATACGTAGGATCCCGGATCTGCGCACCTTCCGCCGCGCACTTAAGACTTTTCTATTTTATCAAGCTGGCCTGGCCTAAATCTTCCCCCTTTTTAAATGTGGAAATTTTAAATTTTTAAATTTTAAATTCGTCTTTTTATAGGGGTATGGGTAAGGCATTTTAAATTGGGGAGCCATCTTAGATTTAATTCTGTTTTAAACGTATTTTAATTGTTTATATTGTATGTTTTTAACTTTGGCTGTGCACCGCCCCGAGTCCTTCGGGAGAGGGGGCGGTATAAAAATCTAATAAATAAATAAATAAATAAATAAATAAATTCTGTTAAAACTTAAAAACTACTAAAGGTATGATTGCCACTGAAGGCCATCTGAAAGGGAATAGTTGGCTTCCTTGTGCAGTTGGTTGGCCACTGTAAAATCAGACTGAACTAAATGGGCCAGGGGACCAATCCAGCAGGGCACTCTTACAAAAAACATATGTAATAGTCTGTAGCCTAGTAACATATCTGCCAACAGCTCAGGGTAACAATATTTCAGATTCTTGCAGGAAATTAGGAGGAAATCAAGAACTCACTGTCTCCAAAGCTATCCTCGCTTCTGCGAGGAGGATAATCATCAAAGTTATCTGTAGCAGGACGTGCCCTCCAGTCAGTCTCAAATCTTTCTGAATCCCGATTGCGATCACGGTCTCTGCCAAAAGAGCGATCATCCCTATCTGCAGGAAGAAGGTGAAATGACCCACAATGTTTAAAGAGGCATATCTAATTCATCCAGTTTCATATTTCATAGAGGAAATTATAAGTCCTCTTAACCAGAGCAGATGCATAAATGCCATTCAAACTGAAGCACGCTGTATAATACTGTTGCAACAAAAAATTATTTTGGACAAATGTTTGTAGGTCTTTTTCCAGCCATTGTGAAAGGAGGAACAATGGAAGCAGAATCTAATAATCCCAGGGCTAAAACAATAAACAGTCCGGCATAGCATGGCATGACAAAACAACTTAACGTGAACAGTAATAGGAAAAAAAACCTGCTGAGTTGGTTTATTGGTAGCTCTAAAAACCAGGACTTCTTTCATCCCTGACACAGGATTTGACCGGCATTTCTAATAGATATTCACTGCATTCTTGGACATGGGTATTTCCAAGCAAAACCTGTAACTTGTAGGTTTTATTCTACAGTGTCCAGAGTCAGTTTGTGTGAGATGGGAAGCCATATAAATTAGACGGATGGCAGGACAGACAGAGACAAAGGAGGGGCTGAGCTTTGGAATCAAGGGGGTGAACAGAAAAACTGGCTTACTGTAAGAAGAGATAAGCAAAATCTGTCCAATTTCTATAATATATTTCCATACCAGCTGAATATATCTGAATGTATGTAAGTCTTTCGTGTAGTATAAGAATGCCTCAACTTACTGAATGCCAATGCTTACCTTTATCCTGAGCTTGATCAGCAACATCCACTCGTATTCTCCTGTTCCCTAGACACTAGACATGCAACAAAATAGTAATTGTTACATTCAAAGATGAAATCTGATTTAGCTTGCACAGATGGAATTACTTAGTGGCTGGGCTGATATGTTACGCTAAGCCACGCTTGGTTTTAGCTATGGTTTAGTCAACCACTTGGTCCATACATCATGCTAACTTATATGACATGGATTGCAAACTATAATGCCTTGGATCACATATCATGCTATGTTGTAATTGTATGCATCGCGGGTACCAATAGCTCTAAATGCTGATGAAATTATGCTAGCAGAGACCCCTGTAAATACCATCCGTTAATGCTCACTTGATTCAAATCAAATGCTCATTTGATTACAAGAAGCACAATTATGTAGCGCCTTAAGAGCAAATACATTTATTTTATTATTTTTAATCCACAATATTCAAGGTGTCCCATGACATTTCATTATTTTTCTGCAGTAAATAGCACACCTATCCTTCTGAATACTGAAATTTGTCCCATGTTCTCTACTATAATTATAAACTTTCACTATGCAGCTATATTCAGAATCACCGCAGGAATAGGAAATACAGTACATCAAATTAAAACTAGCACACGTTCTCTCTTGGAATCTAGGGTTCCCAAAATATTAAATTATCAAGTTACTTTAAACTAAAAGTGGATTTGATGGTTTCCTTTTGAAAAAGGTAGATTAGATTATATAAAATGTAAATGGTCAGATAGAAAGGACATATTATGTCAAAGTTCTTTGTGATATCCTGGACAGAGGAAACCTAGTAATCTTATGGCCTTGAGATATTCCCATAAAGTGTATCTAACTTTATTGATTCTTTCTTCTGTTCTATACAAACACAACTTATATGTATTTGGAGTCGAAACAGCTCACTATCAAACAACAAGGTTTACAAGTATTGTGTCTAAGGAATTGCTTGCTGAGTAAGAATATTTGCCATCACCGTTTCATTATACCGCACCCCACTCACTGACTAGTAGTATCCTGCATGTTGCTGGAAAAAGAGAAGGACAATGGCAGAAACTGCATATAACAGACTAGACAGAATATTGAGATAGCTGACTATTCTTGGGTTCAGTAAAAGATGCTTCGTACTACTAAATGATATAAGCAAGATATATATCCCGCCTCAAACAACTAAAAAATAAAGAGCAACCCCAAACTATAAAGCACTAATATAAACTCATTAGATGAGACCGTATAACGTTAGTTATAACCAGCCCAGAATAAAAATAAACATGTAAGCATATCACGCATGCCTAATTATACTATTATACATGGAGCCTAGAAATGAAGAGCACAAAGGGGATTTAAGTGCTTTCTTATGATTAATTGATTTGGGACCATCAAAATATTTTCAATTCCTAGTCAACAGACAAACAGATGTCTTCATATATTCCATTTAGCTTCAAATACTTGAGGGGGACACCTAAGATTTTGTATTATTGGGTATCTTTTTGATTGAGTTCTTCTCCTGTGATCTAGACTGAGTTATGTCTTCAAAATGAATTATTTTCTTTAAAACTCTACTCACTACTTAAATGAAGCGGTTTAACTCTTGACTGTTCTTAGCAGTAATGGACTTTGACAAGTTTCAACTCACCTCTTCATTGAAGCTCAAGGCACGGAGCAAGGAGTCTATGTCTTCAAACTCAGCATATCCAAATCCTTTCAACCTCTCTGGGTTACTAGGCTCTCGGGGCAAACGAACAGCACTTATCTGCAGCTAAATGTAAAATGTGAAAGGAAAAGATTTTCAGTAGTCACTTTGTATAAAACTAACGTAATAATAGAATTACAGTTCAAGTCACAATTAAAAAAAATGCAGTTAAAAATAATTTATTGTCCCCACTTTATTGTTGTTTAGAAGAGCCATTAAGAATCAGAGTGCGGATGAGGGAGAATGGGACCTCCTCACTTCAATGCTCTTGCCATCTTTTATCTTTACTTTTTATGGATTTTACTGTAATTTCTTTGATTGTTGTGAGCTGCCTATAGTTGTTGACAGTGAGCGGCATACAAGTTTGCAAGTTTGATAAATTAATATTACAAAATTGCAACTGATTAAAAAATAAAAATCATTATTAGTAACAGGCAGAGGGAATCACTTGAAAGACAGTAATGGATGCAAATGCTAGACTTCGTTCTTTAAATCAAGTCACTTATTAAGACAGAACTGAATATTATCCCAGAATCAATATATTGCCCCTCTTTTTGCAATTATCAGAATTTGGACAAATTCTGGACAAGACAAATATTTAAGTTTATAGTAATTTGGAAGATTGCCTAGTATTTGCAATGTTACAGTAAGGAAGAGATTTCATCAACTTTTTGAATCGCACAATTCTTCCTATAAAATTACTTTAAGTCAGTTACAGAAGATCCTTGAGTATTGAAAAAAAATGTAACACTTTAAAAGCAGCTTCATCAGCTTATCATGGCCAGCATTTCCAAACAAGAGGTATTACTGTTGTGATCTGTGATCACAGAGTGATTAGAGCAGCAATTCCCAAATGATATGCCACAAGAGAACTGCCAGTTCTATGAAAATAACCGCTACTGTAAGCCCAGTGCAGCTGCTCACAGAAAAAGCTGTCGGATGCCTCTTTTCAGCTCAATGCTCTTCAAACCAAATTTAGATGGGTGGATAATGCTACTCAAAGTTTGATTAGATCACTCATCTCATTCTTAATAAACTTCAATAAATTTCCTAATCTCAGACTCCAGCACAGTCAGAATAGCGTCGTGAGTACAATCTCAAAACAGCTGAGATTGTTTAGGACTTCTAAGTTTTAGTCTTAAAAAGAACAAACCCATTAAAAAAAAGTTCAGGTCTTTTTTCCCCCCCAGGTTCTTGGAAGTTTCACTATACACTGAGACATGATTGCGAAAAATTGAAGAGGTTCACTAGTTTTGTGATAGCACAAATAATCATGGTAGGCTTTTTAGTGTTTCTACTAAAAGCAAACTCCCCAGAATAGAGATACTTAGACAACGCTTGAGTACACAAGGCCGTTATGCAAGGTGTAATCTCCATTCAAAGATTGTTTAGTATCTCAATTTCATTGAACATTTTTCCACCTTATTCCACATCGCACTAAGAATAAATAAACATGCTGCCTGCAGGGAAACTCAAGTTACCTCATATACTTACATTCAGTCCTCTGAAGAAATCCTTAATAGATTCTTCTGTTACATCATAGGGCAAATTTCCCAGAAAGGCAGTGTAGGGGGGTGATTTTGGGAGACGGCTTCTGTCAATATTGGGCTCCCGAGCTGCCCGAGGTGCAGTAGGCAGGATGGAACGGTCAATCGGAGGGGCTCGGTACACATCATCATCATTGCTATGCCAGGTGGTGGAAACTAGAAGAACATTTTTGCACATTAACAAACCCAATGATTTCACAAGTAAATGCAGTAGTTTGCAGTAGCACAGCCATTATGTTTCTAGGGATGGAGAGAATACCTGGTAAAGAGCAATTATTTCTGTTTACTTTCAACAGTTGTTTAACACTGTGCAAAACACACCACATTACAAATACATTTCCTCCAAATTTCTCTTATCAAAAACACTATAAAACAATATATGAAACCAGCAGAAATCTAAGAATTGCTATTACAGGGATAATGAGTATAAAAGTAGGAAAAAAACTATTCTTGAAACCAAGAGAAGAGAACATATGTCGCTCAGGGTTGAACTTTGGAGTCCTTGGTGCTCTCTGAACTTGTCTGTTTCCTTGCAGATACAGTAACTTGCCCTGCCAGGTTTAGTGAGGGTGTGGTTTTCTTCCTGGTTTTCTATGTGTCTATAGAGATAAACCATGTTTACATACCATTCAAGAGACAATGAAAAACTAACAAGGCAACAAACAGGCCGAAATACATCCACTCTAGCAACCAACACCCAGATAAGAAGGGGTTAATAACAGAGAAGAAGAAATTAATACCCTAATCAAGGAGCTATCAAGGGGGGAAGCCACATCCTTACAGAGAATGGCAGGGCAAGCTACTATTCCCTATAAACAGGGAATAACCCCCCCCCCCCCCCCGTTACTAGTACTAAAGATATTACTTAGTTGGGTCTGTAAGCAAACAACCAAGCTCAGAGAGCACCAAGAACTCCACTATTTTTGAAATTTAAATATATGGTTAACTTTTTTAAAACATCCATTTTTACTAGCCAGCAAAAATGTATTAAAATGCCCCTACACGCAGGCAAATCCCTTTTCTTTCTACTCAATAAATTACAGTTTGTGAGTTATTTCTCAGGGAGAATCCTACTTCTCAGAAAATGTTCCTATTTCATATATGTTTACATAGTAAATCAAAGCTAGCAAAAAGGGTACAGAAGAATGCCAATTTTATCAGGCTAGAAATATTAGGAAGGTTCAAACTTGCCTCCACAGTAGTGCTGGCTTCAGAAATGTTCCAGCCACCTTTAAAGTTCAGCCTACTGTAGTATCTGACAGCTGTTCTTGAATATAGGTTTGGGTTACTAAGATTAACAATTTCTGCAAAGGTAGAAACTCCTGGTATCTATTCCACTTTATTTAGTTACTAGAGGGGTACAAGTCATTTCCAATCTGAAACTCCAAATTTCAAGTTCAAAGCAGTTGTTTCACTTTGAAACATGCTATTTTGAGTCGAAAACAAAATGTGTCGAGTATTTCAAGCTCAAAATACTACCGGAAGAGTCAAAACAATTTGAAACAGCCGTTTTGAACTCAACACAATCCCCCCCCCCCCAAATTTGAAATCTTTTCCATTCCATTAATAGCTGCTTATTCACACAGCTAATAAAAATCCCGCAAGAAAGTTAAGAGGAATAAACCAACCACCTTGCCAAAAATATTAACTGGATATTTCTTAGTGAACCTTGCCTATCAAAGTAAAACATTACTATACGAGGTTGGGAGAGTTAATTTCCTCCTTACCATCTCCTTCCAGGTCATCTGTTTCATCTGCCCAGCTGACTGGTTTTGGAATATAGGTGGGAGCACCACCACCACCACCACCACTACCACCATCTTCTGCCAGAAAGTTCGTCAGAGACAGGGTCTTCCCCTTCTTGTTCTTCTTCTTAGCTGTAAAAAACAAAAACAAAAACAGAGGCAAGTTCACAGTCTAAATATGCTTTCCTCAAAAGGCCCGAAACTGAATTGCTTTTCCGTAAGATGTATTGAGGAGGATACCCCCAAAGCTGATCACTTCTATCACAATAAAAAATATTCAGTTAAGTATTTTAAGATGCTGTTTTGAAACTGAAGTAAAAGGGTAGTTAATATATCACTATAGCAAGGGTGTCAAACTCGATTTCATTAAGGGCCGCATCAGGGTTGTGTTTGACCTCAGGGGGCTGGGGTGGGCATGACCGGAGTGGGCATGGTCAGCTCAAGGTCACTCTTGTCAGGGGTGCCTGTGGCAGCCCGAGAGCTCCGCCAGCGAAAACAGGCTCCCGAGCTCCGTTTTCTCTGGCAGAAAGAAAGAAGGATTGTGGGCTGGTCCTTTGCTGTTTCCAGGGCGGCACCGTGGGCCAGATCCAAGTACCCCGCGGGCCAGATCCAAGTACCCCGCGGGCCGGATCCAGGCCTTGAGTTTGACATCCCTACACTATAGAGTTAGGTAAAGACAGTTTCATTTTTGAAACAACAAAAATAAATCCTAAATGCAGTTTTGGAAATTGGATTAAAAAAAGTTTTGAATAGTTTATACCTACTATGCTTTATCTATGCTTCCAATAAGCTTTGCGTAGAATATCAGCCTTCAAGCACAACTAAAAAGAACTACAGCTGAAGGAACAGACTTTCCATTTCCCTTATCTGCCTTTTCAACTCTATGTAAGTGGTAGCTGTGAGGAGCCTGTCCAAAGTTATGTTATTTGCCCAACAATGAAAGGGTTTTTTTTTTCTTTTTGGCAAATTAAAAAATTTGTCCACTTCCAGGGGAGATATGGTGAAATGAAGATGCAGAGTCAACAATTATGGCAAAAGACCAAGGAACTGGTCAGTGGAGCAGTTCCTTGGAATATCTCCAGAAAAGGAGAGGGTGAGAGATCACCCACATGTGCTCAGGACAGCTGCTCCTTGCAAGGAGACTTCAGGGCAGAGGTTTTGCCCATGTTTGAATGCTGGAAGATAACAGAATCAGCCATCTTGCTTGCAACCACGGGAGAGCTTTTTAAATGACATTTAAGTGCAAAAACTGTTCACCTCTAATCACTTTCAGAAATTGCTTATTAACCTTCCTGAAGTTATTAGAGACTTCAAAACTCATTGTGTGACTTCCGGTTGGCACCGCAGGCTCCGTGGACGGTCTTTTATGACCGCCAGCCCTGCGCCTCCGTAAAAGCCGCTTTGACAGCGCAAACCGGCTATCTGGCGGCTGAAAAACTCTCCTTCGGGAAAAGAAGGAGAGGAGAGCCGGTGGGCGAGAGTAGAGCTCCCCGAAAGCCCTCTGGAACATTTCCAGAGGCTTGGAGGGTGAGAGCTCCCCAGCCAGCCCGCCAAGAAGCTCCGGAGCCAGGACGACTCTGCGAAAGCAGAGCGAGAAGCCGCGATCCGATCCTGCTTTCAAAAGTGAGTTTGACTGATTACAAAGCGCAGGCAGAGTGGAAAACAGGAGAACAAGCTTTAAAAGTACAGAGCTTAACTCCGAAGTTTAAAAAAAAAACAAATTTAAAAACTTCAAAGAATTTGAAATAAACAACAAAAAACTAAGATTTTGATCTAAGAAAGTTATAAATGGAATAAGGATCCAGATACAAAGTATCCAATACAAAGTATTTAATAAGGCTATTTCATTCATTCAGATCTCGGATGTCTTCTGCTTGTGTTCCCTTTATTTTTTTGAGCAGTGTACTTTTAAAAACATGACAGAGGCCTCAAAATTCAGATAAGGGAAGGATCTGGGTCTAAAATAACTGTCTGCAGGTTGACTAATAGAATTTAGCTGTCAACCATAAAGTCCTCTTAATTTAAGAACTAATTTAATATAAAGGTTAAAATGTCACTATTTGTTCAAAAGGCAACTAATCATACTCCAAAATATTTAATTCATTAAAAACATGTATATACTGCTTATTTAAAAATCCTGAAGCAGTGATTATAATAGCATAAATGAAAAGAAAATTAAAAACAGTAAAAAGTTATACAGATCAGGGTGGCCTAAAAAATAAATTTATACATTGAGAAAAATTAAGGCGTTATAATGATGAGAAAAGCAAATATAAAAAGAGTGTGGTATAATGCAGGGGTGTTAAACATGCGGCCCACAGTCCGGATACAGCCCGTGCAGGCCACGCCCACCCCAGCTCTGCAAGGGCAAAAACCCGACCGCAATGGATCGGGTTTGACATCCCTGGTATAAAGGAATGGGGGGAAATGTCTATTCCCACTTCAATACATGCTAAATAAATCTATATTATAAAAGCACTCTTGCTTTTCAATTCCTAGGTGTTAACTTGTTGTTGCTTCAAACTTGTTCTGGAGCAAACAAACAATATGAGCTCAAGACATGGATGAATGCCCTTCTCCAAAAGCTCATATCACAAAGACATTCTACAGTGTGCTAAGATTTCCTTTATATTTGCATTATTCTTAAAGGGCATTGTGAATACACAGGCTACTGCTGTTGCAGATATACAATGCAGATATTGTCTCTGCAATTGCCAAGAAAAACTAATAAGGAAGCAATATTAAAAGAATAACAATCCAATGCTAATAAGAGTTCATTATACAACACCTTTACTAATATTTCAGGATGCCTGCAGATTCTGCTAGGGTTTTATCTTCTCTACAACAGTTGCACCCTAAAAATTTCTGCATGAAGGGTCAGGCATTAAGCCAATATATAAAATGGATTGGCAATGCTTTACAATATTTAATGATTCAGCTGCTGCTCTTGGTTCACATTACTTACTTTCTTCTGCAACCTGCATAGTAATTGGTCAGTCCCTGACCAAAGATAAACGGCATGGTTTTAAACTATTTGCTCCCTTCCCTCTCTTATTAAGAGTGTAAACCCTACAGACAACTTACAGAAACATTTTTATTTGCCTCCATCATGCCTCCACATTGTGATAATTTCAATTACGTCATCACATTATGACTTCATGGCAAGACTGGCAAAAGATGTGCCTTTAAGCACATGAAAAGTTGCCTTATTTGTATCATTATCTATACTTTCTAGATATAAGAAGCTCCACAAACAAGCACTGCATATCCAGAGGAGGCTGGAATCCTTGAGGACAATTAGATTCTATATTTTATAGAACAAAATGAACAGAATCACAGAACTACAGGCTAGACTCAACGATAAACCATTTCTGAGAAGAAAGCAATGATAAACTGCTTCCATAATGTTACTAGGAAAATTACATGGCTGTATCTATGAAGTCATGATAAACAAAGATTGTCTTAAAGATTTTACTATCCTAGAGGAGACACTGGTACATAATACATGCTGTAAATGCAAGGCTCCAGATTTAACATCTGGCATCAACAACCAGATTAGGGAAGATATAGCTAAGACTCTGGAAATACCAAAACAAGTCATAGTAAATACACACTCTTTCAGATTCCAATTAAAAATGTAAAATTTTCATATAGACGTGTTTCTGAGATCAAAACAATTTCTTGAATAACACTGAATAGTATTGGATTTTTTTTTTCCATTTCACCCTAGTGTATCTATGAACACCGTAATTTATAAACCAGGATTTTAGCTTTAATAAAATATATGAAAGGCTGATTTACCCTTGTTACTAAACAATAAGGTTTGTTTGGTTTGGGCTTAGAATGTTACATGAGCCAAACTAAAAATGTCTTCTTTAAAGAAACAATAGTTTAATACTATGTCAATTATTTTTTTTTATCTCAATATATTCTTTCAACCTCATTAAATAGAATTATCAAATTCTTCTACTAATGGAACTGGAAGGTAAGCCAATTGTATCTCCCATTTTCAGCCTCTCACATAACTTCAAAATCTGCTTTGGCAAGTTTGGGAACTATAGTGAGCTGCAGGAAGCACAGAGGTAAAACATTATTGTGAAAATCATTTTCAAGCTATTGGAAAGCAGGTTGCCTTTATTCTGCATTACTCTGGTAGGAGAAGGCTTGACACTATAGTTTAACGACCCTGAATTACTCCATTGAAAAAAATCTGGCCCTGTTTTACAGGCCCATCTTAGCTACAGTTATATATAACCATCACGAACGCATGGTCAAAATGTATGTTCGTAGTATCAAATGAAAACACAGTTCTAAAATTCCACTGTTGTTCATTTCATATCGCTCTTGGGATAAAAATATAAAAACAAGGTTTAATTCTATAATCACACTATCCTTGGATTGTGTGCATTCAGCAGTTTGCTTTCAATGCTTTTAAAAATAGAAGCCAAAACAAAGATATAAAGGCAATTGCCACTTACCATGTCAACATGATATACCTAATTGCACAAATCTCCATTCTTTCAAAACCATGAGTTAATTTCAGCCATACATTTTGTTTTGCAATCTAAACTATTCTCAAATCCCTATAAGCACTCCCTGGTGTGAATACAGCAACTTAAACGTAAGATAAAATTCTGTAATAATTCATGTCTAAGCGTACTAAGTCTTCTCCATACCATTTCCTTTAACTGATACTTCAGACTAGGAAGGTTGCTAGGTAGGAAAAGGTTGCTATGCCTTTTTAACATCATAGTACACTTGTCAATTTTTTTCTTGACTTTCACTTTTATATCCCACAATGCTCAAAATCCATGTTCTTGAAAAGCTTCTACTCCATTTCAAGTTTTCTACATAAACAATATGAAGTATTTGCCATAAGCTGATTTTAGTCCATAATCAACAGAAGTGCTTAAACCTGAACACAGAAAACATAATTTTCTCCCAACCCATTACAAATTAACCTCCTCCTAATTTTTCCCTCACTTTTCCTATTCTTAAAAACTAATCCTAAAAGCTTCAGTGACATCACGATATATTTGCAACTTACTGTAAGTTAGTTATTTCAACACATATAACTGCCACTGAAATATCACACACTTGTTTTTATAAAGGAACAGCTCTGTGCAACTATT